GGCCTCCACCACCAATCCGCCATGCCGCCCTCGCTCCCCCTGCCGCCACCATCTCCCTCTCCCTCCCTCTCCCCGATCTCTGACCCACCACCACCCATGGCACCAGCCAGAGCAGCCACCAGCTATGGCGACGGCGAAGCTAGAGGCTGTCGGATCCGGGATCAGGGCGGCGCATAGCCCCTCCTCCCGTGAGATCCTCTGCATCGAGCAGCTCCTCCGCCCGCTGCACTGTCTCCCCATCCGGATCGAGCAGTTCCTCTTCACCCGCTCTACCGACCCCCTCCATCAGTCGTCGCTATGCAGTACACTTCCACCGCTTCCGCCGCCTCCCAAGTCGTCGTCCTCCCGATCCCCTCCCCTCCCTTTCCTCTGCTCCGGGCACACCGTCTCCGTCGAGCCGGGCGCCCCATCCACCTCTACGGGCGTCGGCGGCATTGGTGTATGAGCATACATGCGGATCATGGCCGGCACCATCCTCGGCAGCGGCCACGGCTTCTACGTCATGCACCACATCGAGACCTCCTACAAGGTACGGCGACTCCCGTCGCACCAACCTGCTGCGATGTGTGGACCATTTTGTCGAAGCCGCGGTACTCACTCTCGCTTTTTTTTGTCGTGTGCAGGCAAGGGTGGAGGAGAGGCTATGTCGATGGCAAGCTGGAGTGCCTCTACCATGGCTGGCAGTTCGATGGCCAGGGCAAGTGCGTCAAGATCCCACAGGTCCCACCATCCCACACTTCTTTCTAATCAAGTTCTGAAATCGTGTTAGTTGTTTAGCTTCGCGAGGTTAACTGTCTACATCCGATCCATCATTCATACTCAAGTTGACTGTATGACATTGCATTAGCCTAGCTCTTATTTTTTTGGCTAGGAATAGAATTGACATGCATAGCTGATCTGATTGGAAAGGGATGGCAGTATATAGTTTCTATCGTGTAGTAGCATCGGCTCTTTATCTGGAAAAAGAATACTATCAAGTCTTTAGCTAGCTAGCTACTAGTACAAGCTGCAACCCAATAAGAATAGTAGCTTTCCTGCACACATCTAGCTAGCTAATGACACTAGTATTCAGAAACAACTTCACTTTGAAACTCTGAATCACTTCTCCTTGACAGACACAACATGCACACATCTTGCAGGTTAATGGAGCAATGATGTGGTGGTATAACATATCTGCGGCGGTTCTTCAAGCAGCTCTGCAAGTGGAGGATCACGTCCAGGGTAGAGGGATCACAAGGACTGACAAGATGCAGGGAATGTGCCAACTTCCTTTGGCAAAATCTTGCTACCTTGCCATAGATGGCTACTACCTTATAGCCCAGTATTCTACTGCTTTCTTCTATAATTTGTCACCCTCCACTTCCTTAGGCAAAATTGAAAATTAAGTTGCAGCATTAATTAGGTACTGCTATAGTCTTTTTTAGACATTTCTGCCTCCTTTTTCCCCTGTTTGCGTGAAAGATCATGTGTCCTTTCCATTTGGAGTCTATGTACGAAACACCAATTATCCAGTCCATTTTTCACAAAAAGATTAGTGTTCTTATTTAGTCCTGATGTTTTGGTTTATGGAGTTGTTGATTATTTGGTCAGATTTCCTTAGTTGCTTTGTGCATGAGAATAAGCTGATAAGAACAGAACATTGATACTTTGCATGCTATTAGTAAAATGATTTATTTTCTTTTGTCACCTTGTATGAATGAGTACCTCATTTTAACTAGCTGGAGAACGAAGCATTGTCATAGCTGAATTTGTGTTATCATTCTAATGAACTTGTTCGTTTTCTGAATGAAATGTTCATAATATATTGGCTCCACATTTTGACCTTACCTTCCATTCCCTTCCCTGATGTGCAGGAGCAGTTGCACGGCTGCAACATCACCAACTCGACTTGGATGCAGGGAGAGGAGACGCCTAGCTGCAGGGAAGCTGCAACTCTAGGTTAAGGCCTCCCTCTGCATCTCCTTGTTTTGGTTTCCTAGGCTTGGTCCCTGATTTGGTGCTGCTCCAAATTTGCTTACATGCTTGATTTCATTGTTTGCCAATTAAGTTGCTTGCTTGATGCCCCAAAATTTAGTAGAATTTTGTTTATCAATTGGTTTGGTTGGATTTCTCCCAAGTTAACTGAAGTTGTTACAAAATAGGTGGTTGTTGTCCAATTTGTTCAGTAGAATAAAAATTGATGGTTGGCATGTTTTGTTTGCTATCTTTCATCTCACCTTGTGTTGTCAAAGTTTATCTTCTCTTGTCAAGGTTTTCACTGTGGTAACTATTAATTTGGAAGATAAAGTGATGGCCAATTATATGTATATATCCACACAACAAATATACCGTGTTGTATTATGCTTATGCTACTTGTATCACCAGTGTTTTCTAACTCTAGCACCTATGTATTTCTTTACTGTCTTGCCTAACCCTGTATTGATATGTATGTTTGCTCAAAATTAAGTACAAGTTAGGCCGCCATGTTAAGGCTAACCTGAGAACACTTACTCTCTCTCTCTCTCTATGTCTTTATTAAGCTCGGCTAACCTTATAGATGTTGTCCTTCTTTCATCTGCAGGACAATATCATGCATATGTTTATTTGGTTTGATCTTTGTATGTGTTTATTCAGTACGAACTCTACATGACATGAAGTAATTATTTTCTATGTTTTTCTCAACTTGTTTTCGTTGTTACTTGATACATACTTAGTTTGTAGTTAAAGTTGTGGGTTAACGATGGTGATTTTGTTCTACTTGAATGCATTGGTACCCCCCCCCCCCTCATCTAGTGCACGGATGCAACGGTGGCAAGAAGATCATGGCTGTGTGCATCATCAAGCACACCATGGCGATAATTCACCTCCTCACAGATGCTAACTCAATCCAAATCATCGCGATGCTATCATCCTTAGGTATCTCTCTTGGTTCCCTTTATTCTCTCGTGCATTTGTGATGTTAGTGATGTTAGCCTACGTACTCTGACTAGTAATATTTGATCTTGCATGTTGAATGGATGGCTGTGGTAGTAGAATGGTATTATTGTTTAGGTGCAATTTGGTGTAGTGAAGTTTTTTGCACGACTCGCACTTGTGCAATACAAATTCATATTTTTTTTCTCTGTTTTCTTGTATGAATGAGTATCTCATTTTAACTAGCTGGAGAACAAAAATCATGGTACTAGCAGAATTTGTGTCGTCATTCTAATATAAATAGCTGTCATTTTTTGAATGGTCTCTTCTTGCTATATTGCTCCAGTTTTCCTAATTCTTGTCTGTTGATTCATGTATCAGGGTGACCGTGGAAGGCATATACTGTTCTGTTGGCCCAGTCCTGACAAGAGTAGGTGCCTACTTTGTGATTGTTATCGAAGGAGTTCCATGCTGAAGAACATAGCTTGTAACTGTATCTAGTTATTACACATGTGGAGCTTGTAACTGTGATTGCCATACTTGTAGAGCTTGTAGCTAGTTATTACACTTGTATAGCTTCTGGAGAATGTTTGGAGTATCACGTGTAGAGCTTGTATATGTTAGAGCTTATTATGTGTAGAGCTTGTAAAGTATATGTTATTTGTACAATAGGAGCTCTGTACTGAATCTGGCTGATAATATTTGGAGTATTATGTGTGTGTTTTGTTTGTGCCAATTTAAATACTGGTTATTTATTTACTGTTAAATTGAAATATGAATAATATGAACTTGCTAGCTGGGACCCACGTACCTGAACTTGACATCTGGGACCCATTTGACTAATGGACCCTTTTATATTACAAAAAACTAAAAAAAACTAAAACTTTCTAGCGGAAAAGGCCACGGCCCAAAAATGAGAAGGCTTAATTGTTGGGCTTGGCCCATCTACCTAGCCAAAATTAATATGAGAAAAAAAACACAAATGGGCTGAATTTTTGGGCTTGGCCCATGTAAAACACCGAATTGGACCGGGCTGATTCTTATCCACGTCAGCTTGTCATGTTGGATTCCTACGTGGCCTGGGGAGGTCGCTAGTGACCAAAAATTTGGTCGTGAAACCAATGACCTTTTACATATCACAAAGAAGGTCCCTAATTTTAGTTTACGACCGCCAGCTTTTGACCATCTGTTTTTTGTCACAAAAAGGTCGCAAATGAAAAACAATGACCTTTCAACGACTAATAGTGATGGTCACAAGTTGACATATTTCTTGTAGTGCTAGACTTGAAGACTCCATTGTATGATGGTTGCAGTCCCGAGGTGACCCTCTGGAGTTTCACGCTCTAACTTCTAAAGACGAAGGCAAAAAACAAATGGACCAACGCAAGGCTCGATGAGCATTTGAAGTATCTATAGAAAGTTCTTCTCGTGGGGAACCGGTGTCCTACTAGTGTTGAGGATGCCATGGAAATCGTGTGTCCTCTTGATGTCTCGCACATTAGATACCACACATGCATCAACGATTGCATCATTTATCGGAACGAGCATGCGGACAAAACTAGTTGTCCAGTGTGCAATGCTTCTTGATACAAGAGGGCTGGAAAGAAAGCTCCTCTGAAAGTTGTATGGTACTTTCCGATCACTCCCCATATGTAGCGGTATTTTGTAGATCCTAAGGAAGCAAAGCTCATGCGCTAGCACGCGGAGAGGATGAAGCCAGATGATGGAGATGATCCGAAGCTGAGACACCTCACATACGTTAGCCAGTGGAGAGCATTAAACGCCGAATATCGATATTTCGCACGTGATCCAAGGAACATCGTGCTTGGCGCAAGTGCTGATGGCATGAATCTGTTTCGCAACCAGAACACCAACCATAGCACATGGCCCATGTTTGTATGGATGTACAACCTCCCCCTTGAAGTGCATGAAGACCAAGTACATACACGTAAGTATGCTGATTCAAGGGCTGAAACAACCGGGAGAAATGATATTAATATGTATCTCGGACTACTGAAAGAGCATCTACACACGTTATGGATAGCACCGGTCAAGACATGGGATGCCAGCGCAGGAGGGTATTTCGATATGAGAGTCACGCTGATCATGATACTGCATGACTTTCTTGGTTATGGATATGTCTCGAGACAGGTGTGCCACGGATATTGCAGATGCACCAGGTGCAGGATGAAGCAACATCTCAGCAGCTACAGAAAGATGGTGAGTCTTCAAATATCGTGTACATGCGACATCAAAGATGGCTTGAGAAGGATGGCCTGTGGAGAAAGCGTGGAGATCTATTTAATGGTAAGGCCGAGCATCGAGGACCTCCACATAATAGGAGCGACATCAAAATCGATGAGTTGTTGAAATGGAAAGAGTGCCTCGTTCCCGAAAAGAATAAAAAGGCATCGGAGCAGCTGCTGAAGGTATGAAAAACGAGGTCTATTTTCCGGAACTTGGAGTACTGGCCCAAACTCAACACGCATCATAGCCTTGATAGCATGGTTTTGGAACTTAACAGTTTCTGTTGGTAGTTAAAACACTTGAGATGGTTCTGTAACTTTAAAGTTTTAGTTAAGTTAATTGAATTTTTTGGACAATTTTAGTTAATTAAATAAATGATAGATATAGTTAACGATGGCTAGTTAACTTGGGCACATCATGGTCATTTTCAGACTGAGATTTTCAGACATGTACATCATGGTCATTTTTAGACTAAGATCTTTAGTCATTTTCAAACTGAGATAACCAACTTTGGCACAGAAAAAAATGCATATGAAAAATCTATACTTAACGATGGACAAAATTTGAGTTAAAAAGGAATTTGCTTACTATGACAAATCTTGAAAAGTTCAAACATGACATAATATAAAATAGGTCATAGCTAGGATTTTTTTTCTCAAATTTGTCTGTGTACAATTGTTTCAGTGAGAATATGTGATAATATAATATATTTGGACAGTATATCAAGTTTGAAATTTTCTATATTAAAAAGAACTTTACTCTGCTGATGTGATGATGATGCTGCTTTGAATGCTCATGTGGTGCAATGTAGATCACCGACGAGCCACTCGACGACGCCCATAAGATAATCGACGACACCCGCATCCTCGATAACTATCTAGTGAGTAAAGATGGTCTATTTGGACATGTGATATGTGGACTAGTGTTGTGTAGTACTAGTGTTGTCACACATTGATATTTGGACATGTGATAATGTGGATATTTGGAAATATGATGGATATGTCTTCTACTTGTGTATGTGCTTGCCCAAGTGCTATCTTGGCCTTCTTTGTTTGCAGGGAAACTCCGAGTGGCCTATGCTTTGCTGGCATATTGATTCATTTCCATTCGGCAAATTTTAAGGTCTCGACATGTCCTATTTTTAGCAAAGGTCATGCCAAAAAAATTCATGAATTTTGGCATGACTTGTGCTAGAAAGTAGGACATATCGAGTGCCCGGGATTTGCTGCAATGTGAATGAAACGAC